AATATAAATTTATTTTTAAATAAATAAAAAATTTTACTTAAAATTATCTTATTTTAAACAATAAAAAGTAATACTTTATACATAGTTCAATAACTTTATATTTTTACAGTTGATAATTTCTCTTGATTTTAGAAACTTCTCATTATTACTTATAAAATAAAGATATTTTAAATAACATCTTAAAAGCTTTAACATCATTTTTTTCAAAAGAAATAAATCAAAATTACTCTGAGCTAAAAATTAAATTTGTTAGTAGAGTGCAATTACTCAAACCTAATCCAATATTTTATGCTCCTTTATCACCGATTTAATTGCCCCTTTTCAAATAAAATAAATCAATTTATTTACTATTTAAATTTGTTTTTAAATTTAAATCAAAATATATAAAATAATTCAAGCTTTTTTTAGTTAGCAATAAATAAATAAAATATAATTTTACGAAATGTTAAATTTGAGATTAGTTAGGAACTTGAAGTTACCAAGTGCTGCACCAATAGTAGAAGCTCCATCATGCCCAATTTAATTTCCTCTTTTATATTTGCAAATCATGTTTAATTAAAATTTAAGACATTTTATAAATTCAAATTTTTTTTAAATTTAGTTTAATAAAATGGTTTGACATAATTTTTTAAAAGTTATAAATTAAATAAATAACCTTATGTCAAATTCTAAATTTGTAAGTTGAGTGCAGTTACTCAAACCTAAACCAATATTTTATGCTCCTTTATCACCGATTTTATTGCCTCTTTTCAAATAAAATAAATAAATTTATTTACTATTTAAATTTGTTTTTAAATTTAAATCAAAATATATAAAATAATTCAAGCTTTTTTTAGTTTTCAATAAATAAATAAATAAAATATAATTTTACCAAATGTTAAATTTGAGATTAGTTAGGAACTTGAAGTTACCAAGTGCTGCACCAATAGTAGAAGCTCCATCATGCCCAATTTTATTTCCTCTTTTATATCTGCTAATCACGTTTAATTAAAATTTAAGACATTTTATAAATTCAAAAGTTTTTTTTAATTTAGTT